TTATTATGATGATGATGATGTCAGAAAACCAAGTCTCTATCCGTTTTATCAAAATCGTAAGAATATTCGGAGTCGTTATCAAGATATTCGACGAAGAATTGTACTCGAAAAAGCTTGACGTGTTGTGAAAATCAGCATTTTTACGTCAAATTTCTCAAAACTAGGTACTGAGCAGACAGAATTTGTAGTTCTGAGGTAACGACTATTATGTAAGCCGCAAAAAGGTGGAGTCAGGCGCTCGTCAATTTTTTGTATTGTACGAAGTTATTGATATCATCTTAAAGCTTGTATCACTGATCTTACTTTCGGGTGAAAAATACCAATCTATCCTGAATTGAAGATGGGTTGAGATATTTGCGATTGAAGGTGGTGGTGGTGGTGGTGTGTGGGGGGGTTACCTGGCGTCAGAGGTAAAATTAGCAAGAAAATGGCTGCCAAAGTTTGATGACTTCCAGAACTTGAGAGTCCTTGAAAATTGCACATTTATAACGTGTATGTCTTTGACCGACGCTTTTCAGTAAAAAATCTACCCAGAAATCATTTTTAAATAGACATAAAAGCTGTTGAGCCAAAAAAATTTAAAAAAAGAAAGAAAGAATATTCGGGAAAATACAAGTCGCCAACAGTGAGAAAAATACCGCTTTCTTTGATTTCATGACTGTGACGAGAGCCTCACAGAGAGGCATCGTGGTGAAATCAGGCTCTCGTCAAAATAATGAAATCGAAGATATCGGCATTTTCCCACCTGTTTGACATTTATTTTTCTAAATTTTATTTTTTGGCCGAACGCTTGTTTTGTCCATTCAAAAAGATATTCCTGTGTGGATTTTGCTGAAAAACTTTGATTAAACTCTCAAAAAATGTGAGGCAGCGTGGTGGAATCAGGCTCTCGTCAAAATAACCAAAGTGAAGAAAGTTGCATTTTTCCGCTGGTTTGTGAATTTTTATCAAATTTTTGTTTTTTGGCTCAACACCTTTCATGCCCATTAAAGAACTCATTTCTGTGCGGATTTTTCTTAAAAACGTTGATTAAAGGCACAAAAAATGTAAATTTTCAGTTACCACTGCCTCTTACACTAAGTAAATAACTAATCTTTGTCGTCATTTTCTCACTTATTTTAACTCTTTAAACAGGTGACCCCCTCCTCCTTCATTCGCAAATATCCGACTTGTATTCAAAATAAATGGATCTTCTTTTCTTCCAAATAAAGACAAGTGAACAAGCTTTAAGATGGGAGGAGGAGGGAAAGGAGAGGGGGAGAGGAGGAGAGGGAGAGGAGGAGGAAGGAGTGGTGCAGGAGAGAGGAAGGAGAGGGGGGAGAGGGAGAGAAGGAAGTGGGGTAGAAAAGGGGGGAAGATGAGGGGAGGAAGAGGGGGGAGGGCTGCCGGCTGGTGAACGAGTGACCTTCGGGCAGTTATGATAACACTGAGATAACACAACACCCCTTCCAACCCATCCGTTACACCCCCGCCCACCTCCTCCCACCCCATCCTACCCTCTCCCACCCCATCCATCCCCATCCCCTTCCACCCTCCCATCCCCTTATATAATATATTTAGTGCCAAAGACAAGCTTGGCGTCGTCTGCTCTCTGCCTTATGTACTTGACGGTATAGGGAGAGAGTAAGTAAGTAAGTGCCAAAGATTACAGGTTCACTAGGCAGGGAGTATTGAAGAAAAGATGGAGGAGAGAAAGGGACAATGCATGTTTGATAGGGAAAAAGGAGCAAACCACACACGTCTATCGCCCACAATCGGAGAAGGACAAGAAATGCGCCGAGACGTTTATACAGACATGTAAGATAAGATAAGATGAGATACGATACATCGTTATTGTCCAGATCCTGGCACATTGGTTTGGTGTTTCACCACGTGTACACACACACACACACACACACACA